GAGCCAAATTTCTATTTTCTATAAATTACCTGGTCATTTTGTTATAGCATCTCAAACTCAGACAATTACCTACTTTTCTAGAGTGTTTGTTAATTGAGCAGAACATTTTATCTTTCTTCACTGCCTTTTGCACAGGGAGCAATCAACTGTTTTTTAAATTCAGATTATTGTATTATTTAATCAATTAGATATTTGGCCTCTAAACGTTGTTTTGTTCTATTTTGTGTGTGATTTCCTTTTCTTTTGGCTGGGGCTGGGTCTGAACCCGCCACCTCCAGCAGATGGGACCAGTGCCCTACTCCTTTAAGCCACAGGCGCTGTCGATATTTGGCCTCTATGTTGTCTCTTTTGATTAAGATCTATTAATAACCAGTTATGTTGATAAATTAGATTAAAATATCACAAATTAAGATCAATAGCAAAAACAAAAGCATTATGGCACAAAATAGAAAATTAGAAAACAAAACAAAAAGTAAAGCAGTGTTGAACCATAAACCTGGGTATCTATTTACTATCTAGACCCAGCACTATCAGAAGGGAATGAGGGATCTTAGGCTGGGAAGGCATAAATCAAGTAGACAAAAGAGAAAGTCATTCCACATGAAGAAATGTGTTTTTATTTTAAATAAAAATGTTAATATTTGATTCCCTAATATTCAAGGACCTGATTTTGCTTTTCAAATAGAAAAGTATCTTTAAATTCTATCATGTTTGTAATCATTTGTTTAAAACGTTTATTTTAGTCTACATTTTTATTATTAAATTTTATAAGTATAACGTGGCAGAGGTATGCAATTTTACTTACATAAAAGAAAAATCCATCAAGAAAAGCAACACATTTTAGGGGTGGTCATCACATTAACAAAAGTGCCCACCGGGTATTAAACTGCAGCTATAGACATGCTATGAAGAGGAAGATGCTTTATCAGAGCTTCTCTCTGCAGCATCACCCCCCACAACCTATATTTTTAAAAATAAACTTGTTTCTATTATGAGCAATCATAGGGATGGTTGGAAAAATACACACATACTCATACAGAATTAGGGCTAATCCTTTCCACCGCATGCCCACAGAAAATACTGTGCTTACATTTGCAACTAAAGAGATTTTATGAAAAGCTTATTCTTTACAACTTTGCCTCTTAGTCTAATAGTTGACCTGAAGTCTTTGTTTGTTAAATGAGTCTCACTATGATTTATGAGACATGTCTATTGTGTCTATTACTATCGCTTCTTGTGCTGTATTTCTTGATTACAGTGCGATGATTACAGTGTAAAGCAAGGAAAGGAACACTTCCCATTATGTTTGTGAGCACTGAGCCCAATAACGTATGATTTACAAAACAATGTCCTATCTAATAAGGCCTTAAAAATCCAAATACCATAGGGCACACCTATAAGGTTCATTGAATTACATAAGTGAATTAGTTCAGTTTGGAAAGCCCCAGCATTTGCACAGTTCCTAAGTCCATAATATCTGGTCACCTACTTCATTAATTAATTGAATATGTTGATTAATGTAGTAGAAGTCCACAGTTGATCTGAAAGTTTCCAAGAAAAGTAATTTCATATGCATATTTGATCTATTATTAGATCTCCACAGAACGTGATGAGAATTGAGACATTCAAAGTATTCCGAAAGTACATTCTCATGGAATCGGCTAATGACTGCTCTGCTCGAGGAAATCAGAGAAGCTTTCAGAGAACAAAGACACTTAGGGAGCTAATCCCTTCTCACTTGTGTGTGGCAGTCACTATTAATGGAGCACA